ATAAAAAAAAATTACAAACACACAAGCCATTACTAAATAATGTACAGGGTAGGGCAATTAAAGTGTTACAAAAAAAAAAAAAATGTCATATCCGGGGCTATGACTGAATCGATAGTCGAGCCATTTCTCGTAAAATCTACAAAAATGCTATCCCTGAATTCGAGTAGCTACAAACGCAGTGTATATTTTGATTGCTTCCGGTTGTGGAAATTCGGATTCAGTGATCGAATTATCATAGGTTTTACAAAAATCGGTTTCGCGATAGATTCACTAATACCCCCCGATTTCTTTATTTATGAATGAATTTTGTTGAATTAAACAAAAAGGGATGAGAGATGAATTATCTTAAGACAGCATCAGCAGTTTCAGTGTTGCACCCTTGGCATCAATTTTGGTAGCCAATGAAGGTATCGTTAGCTGCACGCAAGTGGCTCCGCGGTATTTTGGCCCACTCATGGAGAAGCGCTTAGTTGAGATGTTCCGACACACTGGTATTTTTGGAAGCTAACCTTTCTCTTCAAAATACCGCAGACGCAAAAGTCCAACAGGTTTCCATATGGAGAATTCGACAGCCATTGTGTGCACGGAATGAAGTTTGGAAAGTTGGTTCTTAGGCCGTTATTGATTCACGCGTACTTTATGTGACAGTGCTGAATCCTGCTGGAATGTCCAAGGCCTGCGACCGATATGTTTGGCTGCCCAAGGGTTGCCTCTTAATATGTACTTTTGCTTTGAATTTATTTTTACGCAACGGTAGAAAAAAATACGTGCGGAAAGCGTAACCAGCCGTTATGGTGGCCCAAACCATAACTATCGGTGGCGTCTGCTTTCTCCTGGCCATTCGAATTTTCTGCTGACCTCTCTGGGAAGTAAATTAGACTTTTGAAAAATACCAGACTGTCGAGTATGTCAAACAAGTGATTCTTCGGCACTTGCGGGAGGCATGCGCTGCCTTCAATGGTCGTTTGAAGGCCAAGAGTTCTAAACTGAAAACCGCTGATACACTTTTTGAGATAATTAATTTGTCAGTCCGTTATATTTAATTCAACCAAATTCTTTCTTAAAGCTTGGTATAAAAGCTCTCAAGAAAAACGAAAAGTTCATATAAAATGACATTCAAGAAATGGAAAGCAATTTTTTTCTATAAAATTTTCTAAACTAAATTTACTTTTCCAAGCAATAGAAATCATCAAAAGTATTTCTTGAGAGCTATGTTGGTAACACTTCAATTGCCCTACCCTGTATATGCATAGCTTATATCGGCGAACTACATATATGTATGTAGACTTTTTGTATTAAAAATGAGACATAACATTTTGCAATTTTTATTTGCTTAGAAGAAAGGATCACTTTTTTATGCATTAGGTGTATAGATGACTTTTGTCTTTAAATTTTTGGAGTTTTAGATTTACTGTAGTCATACTACTGATCACGATATCCTTAAGTTATCGTTGAATTTCTGTGGCCGATTGAAAGTTTACTCCAGTATTCAACTGACTTTCTAAAGCCTCCGATCATTTTCCCATTTTAGTTAGATATGGGCGCTTGAGTAAAAATTCCATGCCGACCATCCAGACGTTTTTCACATTCTTACCGCGGGCCCTGAAAAGATTTTATGAATTTTTGGAAGTTGCGGGTTTTATCGGTAGTTTCCGGAAAGATTTTTAAAAACCCTATACGGACCATTTTGAAATTAGAACCGCAGGTCCCGATATATAGTAAAACTGCGTTTTTAGTTTCCCCTTGACATCAGAATTTTTTTTTACAATGACTGTGATTTCAAAGATATGTTTAATTAAAAAATTTATTACAAAAATTCCATGCAATTTTAATAATAAAGTTAGAAGGACGAAATTCCGGAATGTGTTCGTGCGCACAGTCCTTAAAATATATTATTCCAAAGGAAAGTAACTATTGGAAATTTTCAAGTATAATCAAGGACGACATTCTGAAAGAACATTTTCAATACCTATTCGTACTTCTGCACCAACAATTTGTTTTTCAGTTCCAAAAAATTTTAGATTTTATTTAGTACACACATTTAGGTGGTTCACAAGGTGTCATAAGTGTCGTATAGTCTTACGTCGTTAAGGTTTTTACAGCCAAATAAATGTTTGGAGGACTTAAAACCACAACCAACCATTTTCTAACGGTGTGAAATTTCCTAATACGACGTTTGTGGTAGCTTGCGAATCCCTTATAGTTTTAGCCGCTTCAAGTGTATGACATATAACGATACGACAGTATATAATACCTTGTGAACTCCCAAATTGTTATTCTACAATGCGCTGTTTTTTTAATACTTTTTTTTTGATGATCATAACCCCTTTAAAAAAATCCCGACCCTAAGAAGAAAAAAATTAAAACGCAGTTTTACTATATTTGGCTTAAGTTTTGCGAGCATATTGAATTTTTTTGGGTAGAATTGACTATCGCACCTTGAAACTCATGCCGTCTTTGGGTCTCAAAATATTAAAAACCGAAACGTATTTATGGAAATGTGGTGTGAAAACCATCCTCTAGTCATGGATCAGTAGTATACTACAAAGGTAATATCATGACTTCAGTTTATCCAAAACTTTCAAGCTAAATAGCTTGTCATTCCCTTGTTAAACAACGCTTGCCTAACTTTTCCTTCCCTAACTTGCTTGCTTGCGTTTTCCATGCCATCATCAATTACTTTGCTCTTTCACTGTCAATTTTTTTTGGCTTGCACCTTCAAACTGCTACAGTTTTATTGTACGCTGCACGCTCTCTATTTTGTAAATTCCCTTTCTTTCTTTCTTTCATTCTTTTTTGCTGTCACGTTTCGTTTTGCTGTTACACACATACGTAAAAATGGTAGTTTTGTTTGTTTCTCTTTAAATACATATTGTACATATATAAAATTATAGGTACATATACATACATATAGCATAGTAAACATAGTACTCATAATGTTTCGAATTAATTAAATATTTTCTTTTATTTATTAATAATAATTAATTAATTAATTATAATAGCTTTGTCATATTCCATACAATTTTACATATAATTACTTGAAATATTTTAAATTGTTCCTCTTTTTTTTTGTATTACCTTGCTGTTTTTTTACTGCATTAAATTACATACTTTTCTTTTAAATAATTTCAATTAATTTACTTTTATATATTTTTTTAGTTTTAATTTTCATTAGCGCCTATTTACTTCTTAGCATTTTATTAATTTTATTTTCTTTTATAATTATTAATTAGTACGTAATATACATATATTGCTATATAAATATTTTGTTTTAACATGAATTAGAACAAAATAATGTCTTTTGTTTGTTTTGTAGATTTCAGCTTGTGCAACAGTGTGTGTGATTTGCCAACGCGCGCACACTGCTTTACATACCTAGGTGTAGATATCTATACGTTAAGTGATATTCCACATTTTGCCGCTGCAAAACGGCCGCTGCCACTTGCACTGCTGCAACAATTGTTGCATTGACGCGCGTCATACGTTTACTAAATTTTTGTAGGTGTTTTACTTCGCTAATGGCCGGCCATGTGACGCGCTTTGCTCTGCCTCTAATTCTTTCTCTACTGCTACTTCTTCTTATTCGCTACTTCTTCTTCTTCTTGGCTACGGCTCTTGTCAGCTGTGAATTTTCCAGCTGTTTTGTTTACATCTACTTTTACTTTACTTTAAATTATTTAATTTTTATTTTTTATTTATTTTTTTTCAACTACTACTAATTGAATTTTTAAATTCAATTCAAATTGCACACAATTCTGCTAAACTAATACACAGTAGTTTTTTTATCTCATTTTATTTTTAGTCTACAAATATATTGTTGTTGTCTCTGTCCACTTCTCTGCCTCTTTCTCTCTTTCTCTATTGCCATCTTTTCCGCGCGATTTCGCCAGGATTTCTAGCAAATTTTATATGTACGCGCATACGGATGAGCGCGCTAGAGAGAGGGAGAGCTGAGATTGTTAGATGTTTATGAAAAAAAAAAAGTTTTGAAGCAGTTCGGCCTCTTCCTCCCACATGCAGCTTTTTTGCATTTTCTGCTACATTTTTAATGTTTTAAATATTTTTAGAGAATTTCTAGTTTTACTCTGCCAATTTTCTTTTGTGTTGTTGCAATCACATATGCATTTGCAATAATTGTTTTTTTTTTTAATTTTTTCCTCTAGCTTTTTTGGCTATTTTTTCGTTTCAAATTAATTCATGTACTTCCTTCCGTTTTTTGCTCTCTTTCGCACAATATTGTCAAATCAAATATATGTATGTATTACTCCCAACAAAATTCAATGCTATTTTTTCTAATTCTCCCTTTCTTGTTAGCAATTATTTCATTGGGTTTTAGTTTTGCTTTATTTTATCGCTTTAATTTTGTATTTATTTGCTTTAATTTAATTTAATTTTATAAGTAGTTATGTATGTATGTGTATTTAAAAACTAATGTTTACGCAATTTCAATTTTACAAATTCAATAAGCAAATGATTTTGGGCGAGTTATCGTAATAATTAAGTATAATATTAATAATAAGTATGAGTACAATGTGAAACAAATGAGAGAAATGTAGTAGCGCGTGGAAAAAATTATAATTATAAAAATTAAAATCTAATTTTGAAATACATACAATTGAAGAGTACCACGCTCAACAGCTGACTTAAGTATATTTACATACATACAAATTAATACATATGCGCCAAAGCGTACGTCGTAGGCACACTTTTTGAAGACACCATTGCCTATTTTTAGGCGCTTAGCCTTTAAAAAGTAATTTTTTGTTTGCCTTTCTTTTCATTTAAGGCAGCTTACTTCTGCGATTCTTCAATTTCTTATACATACATATGCTGTAGGCATGTATGAACGTCAATATATACTACATATTTCAATCCAGTCAAAATTGTCGTCAAGCGCGCAGCATTGCTGCGCTGTGCGAAAAATTCGTTAACAAAACCAAAAATTAGTGCGCAAAAATGAAATAATTATTACGTAGATATATAATATTTAAATATAGCTAAGTATACATACATAAGTATAGTATATAATAATAATAATAATAATAATTAAATTAAGTTGTATAATAATAATTGTCTCATTTGAATACCAACGAATTATACTAAAAAAAGTGCCTTTGTTTTGTAGTTGTTATTATTGTTATTGTTGCCGCGGTGTGTTGTCCAAATGAAAAACGAAATTCTTAGTCATTTGCGCTGCTTGCTTTCACAGAGTCTACGCAGTTTTCAGAGATTTACTACGCGCTTTTTCTTGCACTTGCTCTCGTTCTTCTCCTTTTATATAACATTCGCTTACTTGCTTCTTATAATTTTTCTTCCATTTAGCATTTAGCAGCGCTGTGTCTATCTCTGTCTTCCGCATTAGCTTTTGTTTTATACCTTTTTATTGTTGTATTTGCTTTTTATTTTTTATGTAATCTTGTTTGCTGTCAATGTTGTGTCATCTATTTATATATGTATGTTGATAGTTGTGTTCTTGTTGTTGCTTTTTAAGCTTAGAGGATTTGTATTAAATCTCAATTATATACGTCCGCCGTTTTAACTTCCGCTTCATTCTCTTTCTCGATCATACCCTCATTGGTGGCATTATTCCAAGCGCCATTCATGCTCTTCGACGATGAGAAGCAGAGTTTCATGATGAATGGGAATTTGGTACCTGAAACGGGAGTAAAAAAAGAGAGAGAGAGCGGGAAGGGAAGAAGAGTTAATTTTTTCTACAAAAAATTAGTGCCATTTTCACAAGTAGGTTCTAAAATTTATCTGCTCCTCAAACACATTTTTAGAACACAATTTTTGTTTGAAGGGCCAATAAATTTTAAACCCTACTTGAGAAAATGTCCTTTAAATGTGTAGCTTGGAAGCTACTAAGGCCCGAATTCACAGTCGTATAGTTGACTAAGGAAAATCATATCGCCTGAAGTTATGTAGGGAGACTCACGGGTGCTTTAAATTCCTAATAATACGAAACTCGTTTTGTTCACTAAGAGGCATACGGTGCCGCACGCCACTCCTCTCTCGGTAGGGGGCTTTCGCCTCCGCTTTCTGATAGGGCGAAGTACTTGGCCTTTATTCTTGATAGGAAGCTGTCGTTGAAGCCTACTATAGAGAAGAGAGCTGGGAAGGCTTGGGTGGCTCTATATAGCTGCAGAGTGGTAATAGGTAAGAGATGGGGCTTAAGGATATTTCCTGACTCATATGAAACCATAGTCAATCCATTAAGTTTTATGAAGTCTTCGTCTGGTGAAATGCACTGGAGGAGGCTACGTTAGTTAGAAGGCTAGAGCGAGTGCAACGAGCTGCCCTAATTGGAATCAGTAGGGCGCTTAGGACTATCTCCCACTCTGGCACTTAACGTCATGCTTAACATAGCGCCTGTCGATATCGCAGGTATACCGGCTGCATAAAGATCGGCGGTCAGACATAGCGGTACTGGTTGCCTGACGGACTCGGATTCTGGACACTCAAGTATTCTCAGGGGTTTCGATCTCATGCCGGGTAACACGGATCACTGCATGCTAGCCTGGCAACAGCTAGCTGTTCCTCTACACATTATTGCTATTAGTGCTATCGCAGGAAACTGTGGGGCTGATGAACTGATAAAGGGCGGTAATCTTGAGGAATTGTCGTCAAGTAGAGAGATGGTAGAAGTTCCCTTGACTACTTGCGGACATCTCTTGGAAAGATAGGTCTTTGGTCAACTCAGCAAACGCTGGCGGAAAACCAGGGCATATGCTACGGCGAGGTCATTCTGGCCGAGGGTTGACCGCGATCTTATTGGAACCCTTTTTGTCACAGCTGTATGGAGCACAATGATGTAGAATCATTTCAGCATTTCCCCCTAGACTGCCCATCCTTTGCTAGATTGCGGTTTAGGCACTTGGGTTCAAACCTTCTGACAAGTCCAGAGGAGTTCTCCGGTACTAACTTTTTGCGCCTACGAATCTTCGTTTTTGGCGATGCGTGCACTAACTTAGAAGTTAAGCTGTGTTTTGCATTGTTCAACTCAACGCAGGGTTGCACGAAAAAAAGTTGAATGGCCAAATATTGGCTGGCGACCAACTTTGTTGAAAGCGATTAGTTGAAAGGCCATTCAACCAAAAGTTGAATGCAAAGTTGAACAATGCAAACACCTTTTTATGGCGAATATTTTGATATTTTTTCATATTTTGATATTTTTAGCCATTCAACTTTTTTTTCGTGCAACCCTGCGCTGAGTTGAACGCAAAGTTGAACAATGCAAACACACTTTTACCGTTTGAAGTGGTATGACAAAGGACCACAAGCGGTAGCCACCTAACCCTGACCAAACCTAACCAAGAGTGATGCTGATTTTTGATGATGAGAAGGTTTGGATAAGTAAATATTTTAATGGTTGCAGCTTCTGTACTTTAGAATAAGTTATTTATTGGTTTCATAACCTTGTGCATAAGAGGTGTCTCACTAAGAATCTACACATCGGCTATTATTCTCTATTTAGATTTTAGATTTACGAGTTCTTTTCAAACAAGGCATTTATTTCTGTTTAAAAGCAAATAATTACTCACCTTTTCCCTCGATTGGCAGATGGTTGCACTTCATGATGGCCAAAACGGCCTGTGAAATATTGGGAAACTCAATTAGACCCGATGAGGAACGCTCCGTTTTAAGTGGGAATAATCGCACCGATGTGGCGGGCACTTCTTTGATATTGAAAATGCCTATAAGCTGGTCTTCGGTCAAGCCAGGCGGTGTGTTGAAAAAGTGCAGAATCTGTGTGCGTGTGTGGAGAGAAAATAATTCGAAGCATATCGTTAAATGAGAAATATAATACCGAATTAAAATACTATAAGTACATACATTAGACTGAACCTTCGAATCTAAAGTAACCACACAAACCTTACACCCATTATAGGTAGAATTTTTTAAGTTAATAAATTATTATTTAAAAACTATGTAAATAAAAGTTTCAAACTTTTTTCAAATTTAGAAAAACTCATCAAATTAGTATCAAAATTGCAAACTTTTAATCAAAAATTCGGGTAAGCATTTTAATAGCCCATTTAATGATGTGCAGGTTTGTAGTAGCTCAAAATTCTGGTAGCTTTTTTCATACGATGTTGCGCGTATGAAAAAACCACATAAGACCATCGGGAAAAATTTTCAAAAATCACCTAGAATTTTGGGTCACTTCAAAATTATACTTTATACTAAAATTAAATCGGCTATTAAACTGCACACCCGAAATTTTCATAAAAATTTTGATGAAAAATTTAAAAATTTTGATGAAAAATTTAAAAATTTTTATAGTGTTTTTGTTTGACAGTGTGAACTATATCTATTTAAAAAAGAAATAATTTTATTTCTTTTTATAAATTTACAAAATTCTTTATTTTTTTATGAATTTGGATGTTAGACTAGATAAGGGGGCGAACTTTTGTTTGTTTGCTTTTATGGTGGCACGGTCTAATGTACATACATGTGTAAATATATTTTTCTTTCTTTCACTCACCTTGCTCGGTGGTTGTATGCGATTTTTGCTTGCCTGTGCTGGCGACAGGAAGCGATTGTTCTTTGAGCCGGTATACTCCTTAAAACTGGGTGTGTGATCGGGTAATAAAAATGGATTTATAACTTCGGACAGGAAATTCTGTTTGGAGAAGGCAATTTGGATTTTGCCACCATTGCCGACGGGAATGTTGTTCAAATGTTGGACACAGCGTTCGACGGCGACCGAATCGCCCATTTGTACCATGGCGGTGCCCTCTTTGGTTTTCAGGAATTTAATCTGTCGTAATGGGGAAGAAATCAAAAGGGATGTTGCTTAATTAGTATTTATAAAATGTTTTTTACGAGATACGCATTAAAAAAATATTGTGAATTGCGTTGAATGAAAAAACAAAAATTTGAAGATGTACATATTACTATGTGATCAGTTTTGAGGTACGGGAACAACGCTATTCCCATAAACTGAGAAGAGTTTACGTGCATGTTATCAACGGGAATTATATAACAACAAAACCCTGTGGAACGTTTCGAAAGAGAACAAAATTCGAATAATATTTTCGGGAACATCTTAAAGAGAACAAAATGGGAACAAAAGTCCCGGAACGTTCTGAACAATAACAAAACGGGAACAAGTCGAACTAACTATATCTCGAAGAACAATTTGAAAATTAAAGTGTCAGGAACTTTCTGATAGAGACCGAAACGGGAACAAATCTTCTCTGAACTATAATTATGCAAATTAAGTCAACGAAAGGCTTATGACATGAACTTTTCTTGCACAGAAAATGGAAAAATTTTCCACAAATGGAAAGATCCCCCTGACGATAAACGATCTGGAAGTTGAAATAATCCAGGTTCAGCCTGGCTTAGAATTAACACTCAAAATGATTTTTCATCCTAACACGCTGATACCGTCTCATTAGTAATTTTAAGTTCTCCAAACTTTTGTTCTCTAGCTAAACGTTCCCCCATGAGTTTTGTTCCTATTTGATTCTCCTTGAAATCGTTTTCGAAACATTCGTTCTCATTTCGTTATACTTAAATAGCAACGTTTCCGACAGTTTTGTTCTCACTAGTTCGTCTAGATAACGTTGTTGAGAGTTTTTTTCTCATTTTATTCTTTTTGAAAACGTTCAAAAACCTTTTGTTCTCATTTTGTTCCCGTTAAAACTGCTCTCAATACTTTGGGTCCCGTTTGGTTATTTTGCTAGAACGTTCCTGACATTACGTTTAGTTCTCGTGTAGAACTAAACAAAAGCCCGAGCGTGTTCTCGGTCTCTGGATATAGGTATATCATTTGGTTATCTTGGGTTGATGAATTTAGCCCACTTTTTCCAAGCTGAAAAATGCGATGTATGTATTTAAGTCTAAGTAGTACCACACCTGCGGCGGCTGTAGGGTTGGACATTTTTAATAAGCAAGCACATTAGGGTGCATCACTAAAGAAAGTTGCGGGTTTTCCAACAACGGAATCCTTCAATTTATTATATCTTAAGATATCCGTCAAAACATTTTGGAATACTACTAAGACTTGCTAGACCGATGTCAAAATAGCTCCAAAAATCGAGTTCTTTTAAAAAGAAAATTGGCGTTAAAAATGTTTTTGTTTTTTCAAAAAATCGGCTGTGATTCATAGAAGAGTTCAGACCTAAAAAGCCTGCATAAAAATGGTAAACATTTTTACCAACGGAATCAAAATCATGCGATTTTGAAGATATTTTCAAATCGACTCAGCTCACATTAATCTCAATATTTTTCCGAAAAATTTTGTGCGGAAGTCTAAAAATATATGTTATAAGTTTTATAATTCCGAAAGGAGAACTGTGCCGATTTTTTTTGTATGTAGAGTGATACACCCTAATATACCAACATGTATTGCCATAAACGCTGAAAGCAATTTATTTCAATAAATGACTTCATGATAGATCTTGCTCAACATATGACCAAATTTTTTATATTTGCTATAAACTTTTTTTTAACTTTTTGTGTTGTAAAAATTTTAAAGCATTCGAAAGTTGCGCATTGCATTACTAAAAGGCCACAAAACAAATTTATGTGAATTTTTGCGTCTTTTAACATCATTTTAATAGCATTGACTTAATTAAATTTGCGCAATTTATTACTATTTCTGCATATGTTGCTCGCTTTTTCCAGCATGAAAATCGCAAACAAGGAAATTCCCCCACAAGCGGAAAGCCAAAGCAGCTTTGATTTTGGTGCTAGCCATGTTGCAAGCAACAAGCAAGCCACCAAACAATTGCGAGGCAAACATTGGCAGGCCAAGCAAAGCGGTGCAGTCAAGTCGTGGTACAACGGCTAATAGCCAATAGCGAGTTGGCCAGGTATGTACGAGTATATGCGTAGTAAGCGACCAGAGGCAACGAACCAGCTGGCTAGCGAGCAATAGGCCCAGATACATTTGTGGCCAGCCAGCGAAGCCGGTTAGCCCAAAGTGGCCGAAGGTAATTAGCTGAGCAATTGATGGTTGAAAATTACTGCGCCTGTATTAGTGGTGTGATGTGTATGTATCAAAATACATATGTACATTGCCAAATGAATACATACAAAGGCAACCAACTCTTCGGATTTAAGAGCGAATATAATGGTCAGACTTATGGAACGCTGATCGATCAAATGCAGCTGATACGAATTGTTACAAGCACTCAATAAATGTATGTATGCTGCATACGTAAATACATGTGTGTAAAATCACATGTGCGCATGTTGCATGCGATGGTGGCAGGTTCAATGTGCTCCAGCTACAGCACCATCGCCAGCTGCAAAGTTTATTAGAAAACCGAGCTTTGATTAAATCGCAAAATCGAAAAAAGAAATAGAAAACAAGTAGCCGCATTGGAGATTTTCACTTTCACTTATTGCCAGCGAAATTGCTGCGTTGCTGTTTTTGTTGTATTTGCTGTGCAACAAGGTGATGTGCTGCTGCAATGTTGCAAAATATTACTGTATTTATTGCCTTCTACTGGCGCTGCTGCTGAGGCTATTCCATTTGTTGGATTACAACACGCAACTGGTAGCAATTAATGCAATTGAAATGCATTAAACTGTAATTTGCTGAAGCTTTACTTTTTACTTTTTACATCTACATATGTATGTATACATACATAATTATTTCGCGGAAAGTCCTTACAGAAAAAGTGTTTTTTTGTTTAGTTATGAGCACATATGTATGCCCATGCACCACGTGTATGGGGAAGTACTCGTATTAATTAATTGAAAATTTGAAAGCAATGAATTTTAGATAATTTTCAAACCGATAAATGTATTCAACTTTTATGAGTAAGGGTAAGAAGATTAAAAAGTAGATTGAAAATACAATATTACAAATTATGTTGCAATAAATAACTTTTAGTGTAAACCAAAAAATAATAATTTAAAACTTAAGGACTGCGCAAATAAAATTGTTCGGTGATTAAAGGTTTTAAACCAATTGTCACATTTTCAAAAATAAATGAGGCATTTTATTTTTAGAATTAACCACAAATTCGCAAAGAGTGGTAAAGATAAAAGAATTATAATTTTTTAATAAGAAGTTTGGATTTTTGCAGAACCTCGTCATATAGCGTTTTTATACTAGTGTCTAACGCAGCTATTTTAATAGCCCACTATCTTAAAGTCTTGAAGGCCTTTGGTCACATTTTTGTGTGGCCTTCATTTCGCTTTCTACGAGAGCCCAGCTCCTCTTATTAGGCCAGAGTTTGGGACTGTTTGTTGGATTGGCTACTTTTGCAAAAAAATGTATGTTATTCCTTTAAGCCCCCCCGTCTGGAGAGGATATCACCCTGTTTCTTTTTAGCTTAAAACATTTAAACGCGGGAGTTGACCGAAGTGAAGGTTTAAACATGTTTTTTATAGTCATCATTAAAAAAATACCACATTTGGTGTGAACATTGGGGTAAATTAAACGGCTGCGGTTTTTGTTATAAAATTTATTTAATCTAACAGAATTTTGTATATTATAACTCGATAAGGTTTAAATCTTGCCATAGCTTGCATTCGCTGAACTGTGGATAATCGTTTTCCAATTCTCTCGCGCGATCTTCTTCTGATAAGCCGTTTTTTTTTTCTAATTGAGGTAAAGAGCCTTATCCTTAAGCTGGTGCGAAATGATCTTTTTTGATGATTAGCTTACTATGTTAGTTTAAGCGAAGGAATCCGTTCATTGATTTTTGAAGGAAAATTAGAATTTTTTGGTATATTTAATTTTAATATGATTTTTGATCTCGAAATTGTCGGATTTTCAACAAATTTGTTCAACATTATTTTTTGAGCAGCCACTGCCAAGACGATTAAACTGTCAAATTAAAAGCCATTACTATGAAATTCAAACCTCATAATGGTAGATCTATTGTCTAACGATCTGCATTGAAACTTTTTAATACATTCCAACAATTGCTGTACAGGAACTGGAACGTGTAGCGATTTTGAGTGAACAATACATTACTACCATTTAGCAGCTAAGGTCCGCCTCTGTGCAATAAAAAACGTAATATGTATATAAATTTCTATAAATTCAAAGTCTAATACACCGAGAAAAAAAAACTGTACATCCAACAATTTTATATGTATTTGGAACAACTCTTATTGGTTAAATCGTACCCAACAACTACTTGCATTTGAAGCAACAGCGCAAAGACTGTTAATTTTTTAACTTAATTAGTACTTAACCCTAGAATTTTCGTATTTCGATTAAAAGTGTATAAATTGTTGTTTTAAATACTTTTTATTTGAGTTAACAGTGGAGGTCGTTGCTACAAAAATATGAAGCTGTTGAATTAAAACTTGGACTTTGAGGTCCCAACGACGAACACCTTTGGCGGTAAGAACTTACGTATTTCATTCAAATACTAATTTGTTAGGAAAAAAGTGAAAATTGTTGGAAAAAAGGTGGAATCTTTCTGGCGTACGCTGAGAAAAATTTTAATGTAAACTCAATTGATTGGTTTTGGTTTGAAAGAACTTTTTATTTAAACGTTTTAAGTATATATGTATATAATATAATAAAGTAAACAATGTAAGTTTATTTTATACATATTTGGAAATTAAATAATAATTATCGCAATAAGTGCTGATAAGTTATTGGAGTTTTATGTTCCTCATTATAATGAAAAACTAAATTATTTTACAGCGTGAAAAAGTTAATACAAATAGAGCAAATATGAACACTGGTGAAATAAGTACTTCTCACTGAACATTATTTAGTTTAGAAAAAATATTTTGTAATTTTGGAATTGGTACCTTGTAATGTAAGCCATCCAAATA